GCACACATAATTTATGTAATATTACAAAATAAAATTAAAATGAGAGAATAAGAGACAAAATTCATGGCAACCGCTTCTTTACATTCATTTCGTTATCAGCTCTGTTACATTTACAGTGGGAAGTGACAATTGTCAGTCGCCAAGATGTAAGCAAGTCCACTTGTACAAACATTTTTTATGACTTTATTTTCTAGCTTTTTTTTTGTTTTGTTCTTGTTACAGTTTTGGTAAGAGAATTTGTGGAAAATTTGGTTTGTGAGCTGTCTTTTGGTCCAAATTACTGAGCAAGCTACTAGTTGGTTTACTTAAGATGAGCGTTTTCAATGATGGAGGTTTTTTTGTGGATTTAGCTTCAATTAGGCTGAGTATTACTAAAGCTAAGGGTTATTAAAGCTGATGTTTACTAAAGCTGAGCGTTTCTATGGCTGAGCGTTTCTATTTCTGAGCGTTACTATGGTCGTTCGTTCCTATTTCTAAGCGTTCCTAAGACTTAACGTTACTATGGCTGAGCGTTACTATGACTGAGCGTTCCTATGGCCGTTCGTTTTTATGGCTAAGCGTTCCTAAGCCTTAACGTTACTATGGATGAGCGTTACTTTGACTTAGAGTTAATATGGCTGAGCGTTGCTATAGCTGAGCTTTACTATGGCTGAGCGTTCCTATGGCTGAGCGTTACTATGGCCGTTCGTTCGTATGGCTAAGCGTTCCTAAGACTTAACGTTACTATGGCTGAGCGTTACTTTTTCTTAGTTTTACTTTGGCTGTGCGTTACTATGGCTAAGCGTTACTATGACTGAGCGTTACTATGGCTGAGCTTTACTATGACAAAACTTTACTATGGCTGAGCGTTACTATGGCTGCTCGTTAGTATGGCTGAACATTCCTAAGGCTGAGCAAAAATCAACTGAGCTTTAAACTAAGTCAACATGGCAAAGCAAATGTTTAAACTCAATCTTAGGTTAATAATTGACAACATGCGTCTTATCCACCATTCACCCAAAGCACACCTCCTTACTTTTCCTTTCCTCTTTTTCCATAATTTCTTTCTTAGGGCAATTCCACGAGTAAAGGGAACTGAGAAAAAGCAAGTTGTAATATTTTTCTACTTGTAGGAATTTGAATTTTTTTTTACCGTTATAAATTTTCAAAAGATTCAAACTAATTTTCATTGCCTTGATTATTATTACGATTATTACACAAAATCATGATGTTAACATGAAAAAAAAACACATTAAATTCATTATTAACCCAATAAAATGTTATTTTTCAAAGAGAAATTATTCTTAGCAATAAATAAATTTAACGGAAATTCAAAATTCAAATATTCTGTTTATTGTTGGTTTTGGATAAAGCGCTGAAAACTTAACCGATTAACGCAGTATTTTTTAATTTTCTCTGTGAATAAAGCATTTAAGAACAGAAAAAGGGTACAAATAAGTAGAAAAAGTGAATATCTATGGCTTAAAAATATACTTGAGCACAAAAAATGGATATTTGAAGACTTTTTTAAGGATACTAGAAGCAAAATTTTCGTAAACTTAACCGATTAACGATGAAAAAACTGAATTATTTCAGTAAATAGACCTTTAAACGTTTAATTACCTATTTTAAAATGAATATCTTGAGTTATTTCTAATTATAAATTTTTAAAAGAACGGAAAAAGGTGTTATTTTAAGAGTATTTTGATCAAAAAGAATTTTACTTGCATTTTTTCACTCATGGAATTGCCCCTTACTCTTTCTCATTTTTTCCATACTTCTTTTATCCTTTCAATTCCTTTCAATTTTTTTTATGCACACACAATGTAAATGTAATGGAATATGTAAAAAGAAAGAAGAAGGGGAAAAAATGTAATGAAAATGTCCATGCAGTGTAAGAAGCCAAGAGTCATGCAATAAATCAGATATACTATGACTAATTGAGGATATGAGGATGTCCATAAAATATTATGAAAATTATGTACTTAGATTCTGAGACACAGTGGATGTAAGGAATGGATAGGAATAATGGGTATGGAAGGGAATGGGTATGGATGTAAAGGAGGATAAATGGTCAATGGCTAAGATTTTGGGATGCTTTTGAGGTTATAGACGACTATAGGCGATGTAATAATGGAGTCACGTCGTCACTATCCATGCTTCAGGTTGACAGCTGTATTGTACAACCCTTGGTTCCTTATATCCTCACCATACCTATACCTAAACTTCAATATTGATTCCATCTAGTCTCCCAACATCAAAAATCCATCAAATTTCCAAAAACTCACCCATTTATAACCCAAATAAAGTTACACATCCACTTACAATCTACAATACTTTAAGTACACATAAAGTCCATGATTAATACTGTCAGTGCAAATGGAGCCATAAGTAAGCGGAATTCTCACATTCGGTCCACTCCACACAATCGTCGTCTCAATTCAGATTTTTTATTTTAAATTCAAATGTTAGTCATCACACAGCTCTACATATATGCACATATGCATCCACAGAAAAAAAAACTTTCTGTCAAGTGACAAATTGCTGCAATCTTGGCGGCCACATTTGGCCATTTATTCTTTGCTTTCTTGTTCATCCCTCGCCCCACTCCACTCTTCCCGATCTCCTTCTCCGAATGCAATTCAAGTAAATTAAAATTTTCTGTAGCTTTTCATTTTTTTTTATTATTCTCGTTCCTCATCCTCACACACAGTTCCTCACTCAAGCTTCTCCTCATTCGGCACGCGAGATATTTTATTTTATGAAGGAATTGCTGCCTTTTTTTTCGGGAATGGGTGGAAGGTTTGTGAGTTGTGTCATTCAACTCTGGACTCTTTTGAGCTTTTTGGTTGCTGTTTTTGGGGAGTTTCGATGATCAGTTTGGGATTTCGAGTGATCTAGGCTATAAATGGAGCTGATGGGTCAGATGTCGTTCAATGTAGTCATTTAAAGTTAGCTGTTGACTACGATCAATGACTCTGAGGTGAGTTTGACCAAATTAACTACTTCAAAGCGAATAGAAACCCAAACTATTGCCACTGAGCTACATATCAACCCAAATTTATGGAAATCCATTACATTGCGCTCCCTTCAATCACCCCAAATTTCTCGTGACACTTTTCAACTTGTTTTATTATTGTATTCTTTCTTAGTATCACAAATGTCCATTTTTACACAGTTCTGGCAACTGCCAGTGCCAAAAAATGCGATTTCTTCCTCCTTCCCATTCCACCATCATCAAAGCTTTTCCTTCCTTCTGTGCGACAATGCAAGAGAAACAGAAAAAAAAGTTGATATGAAAAAAAAAGGAAAAGCGGGCCAGCGACTATCACCAAGTAAAATGTTGTATGTTGTAATGCTGAGTATTTATGATCTTTGAACGACTGCTCACATAGTACAGCTGTAATAATTATGATTGTTTGTGGACGAGACAAAATTGTTACATGGAGAGTGCATTACATGCCGAGTTCACATGAAATGTGAGGAATAAGTTATGTCGTTTGTTTTTTTTTTTTTTTGGTGATAATTTGAGACTTTTTGACAGTTGAACTAGCTTCGTTTGGGGTTATGTGAAAGATATAGGTGACAACACATTAGAGTTTTGGCATTCAGGTGTCTTCACACTAGTTTTTTAACATTCAGGCTCCTTCACACAAGAGTTTTGGAATTTATACTCCTCCACAATAGAGAAATTAAGTTCAGACGCCTTCACACTAGAGTTTTTGCATTCAGACTCCTTCACACTAGAATTTTGGAATTCAGATGCCTTCACACTAGAGTTTTCGCATTCAGACTCCTTCACACTAGAATTTTGGAATTCAAATGCCTTCACACTAGAGTTTTGGCATTCAGATGCCTTAACACTAGTGTTTCAACATTCAGGTGCCTTAATACTAGTGTTTTGACATTCAGGTGCCTTCACACTAGAGTTTCGACATACAGGTGCCTTTACACTAGAGTTTTTGCATTCAGACTACTTCACACTAGAGAAATTAAGTTCAGACGCTTTTACACAAGAACCATTTGTTTCATGTGCCTTCACACTAGATATTTAACATTCAGTCACATTCGCACTAGATTTTTGAGGTTCAAGCGCCTTCACACTATAGCTGTATAGCATCAATTTCTCTCAAATATCAAATTTTAAGCGGCATATGCGCGATTTTCTTTCAATTTTTCTTCTTTTCCATTCATTTCATCTTCAATTTTTTTTCTACTCTTGTATGTCTATGCAGACATGATGTGGGGTAGCAGCAGAGAGAAAAAAAAAGCATGTGGCGACCATGTGACGTTGTGCAGCCAAATGAAGGAACGAGATATTTATGGAAATTCATTTTTCATTTCAAGCTGAACTTTTTTTTTTTCTTTCATCCACTCACAATGCTTCAAATGCTGCTGCTGCTTTGAGTTTCTTGTTTCAATAGACTCATTTGTAGTTTTTATTTTATTTTATTTCGGAGATGGAATATGGATTTTCAGGAGGAGAAGAAGAAGACTTTTATCATTGTTGTATGTGTCTTGTGCATGTCCAGCATGCATAGTTTTTAGAAATTTGAAACTTTGTCTGATTTCTTTTTATTCTTTTGAATGCTTTTTTGATTGTGTGTTGGACGTTTTTGCAGATGATTGAGTTAATCTTATTCAGATTCAATCTGAGAGTTTAGTAAGTTATGAGTTCAAAGTTGGTAGTCAAATGGACGACATTTGACTGTCTGATTAGGAATTGATTCATTGGTTCATGACTTGTGATAAGATGAGGATGATTAAGCATTCAGATGGATATAATGTGATCAAATGTTGAAGATGTGATGTCAAACTCGTATGAAAATTGAAATTATAATACAAAGTAGTCGAAGGATTGTTCGGAAATGATGTCAACTCATTGAATTTTGAAATAGATACATTAAGCCACTCTGAAGCAAAGACAGAGTGTCCAATCCAGGATTACATACCCAAAAAATCATCAGTTGACATCATTAAAGAACAAATCCCCTCCCAAACAAACAAGCTGCAATACTCACCGCGCTCAGCAAACGTGATGATCTCCCTCGTCTTTCCATAAAAGTCATCAAATTCACCTTCGTCGTCCATAAATTCCTTCTCGTCACTAAAACTATTCTCACTATTATTCCGTCTCAATTGCTGCAGCCTCTCAACAATCGGATCATCACTGGACGTCGTCATTGACTGTGCACCTGATTGCATCATCATTGTCGTGTACTCAAAGTCTCTCTCGCCTGCACGATGCAGTGTGTCGAGTATAAATTGTTTGGGTATTGAATTTGTGATATTTGGCTTCTCTCGAAGATTCAATTTCAGCAAGATTTGCTGTTTAATGGCTTCAAGTCGCTTATGGTCACTCAATTGATTCAATTCATTCTCACTTTGTGTTGCTTTGCTCGTTCCATCAGCCTTCCTACTATACTCACTACTAAGTAGATTCTTATTCGTACTCTCGAATGTATCGCCAAGGCAATTAGCACAATATGACGGATACTCATATCCAATATCATTACCATCACCATCCGGTGACTCCAGTCGATGCTGTTCTGCATATAAATTTTGTAATTGTACTTGAATCTCATGTTGCATTTGTAAAAGCATTTGTTCTTGCTGCTGAAGCGATATCTTCTGCTTCTTACGCATCTCTTGGACATCGTCCGATGCCTCAATTGTCTGCTGCATAAGAATGAGACAGAGCACGAGGGTTCGATACTTATACGACCCAAACATTGCAATTTTCTTCTTCTGCTGATTTATGATATTTAAGCTTGTCTTTATTACTTTGTTGCTGATTTAGATTCTCGGATTTTGTTGTATTTTTAATTATTTTTATTATTTTATATTTAATTATTGTAAATTTATTCATTATCCTATCTAATGTGCACTTTATATGAAATATTTTTAATGTGAACGTGGAGGAAGCTGTCTTTTAATTTGTCTGGTTGACTGGCTGGGTTGCTGGCGATTTTCACGAGACTGCTGGGTCTCGTCTTTGTATCGTTGGGAGAGTCACAGACATTTTTAATTGTTTTTTGAGGTTAAGTTTTAGATTTTTTTTTGCAATTTTATTCAATTTTTTTGTAGTTTTTTCTTTTTTTTGAATTTTTGGTGTAAGTTTTACCTTTTTAAGTGTTAAATCCAAGATTCTAGATTTATAACCTCCAAATGTGTCAAAATCTAATTTTTAAGGTCTAAACTTTTCTAAGAAAATTTGATTTTTTTTCTTCAATTTTTAAGTTTTTGTAGATTTAATTTAATTTTCAATTTATTTGTAAACTTGTTTTTTTATAGGTTATGTATATTTTATATAGTTTAAGGTATTTAGAAGAGTAAAGCTTAAAATGTCAGCGTGAGGATTAAAATTCTGAGTGTTATTTGGGTCTTAAAGATGATTAACTGAGTGTAAGTTCACTGCACAAGATTAATGGACATTGGTTAACATTTCAGACGGTGTCTATAGAGGATATAGTAGCTTTAAGTCCTTAGATTTATTTTTTATTAGTCCAAAAATTTGGTGAATTTTAAGAACACGGATTTGTTAAGTTTTGAGCTCTATTTTGTAGATTTTTGCAAATTTTTGAATTAAATCTTAGTAAAATCACTAAATAAAGTCAAATATTTGTTATTAAACTTATTAATTCCTTTATTTTCTTAGAATTCTCACTTTTGGACTCAATTATCTTAATTGTTCATCAAAAGTTCTCCGAATAATAATCCTCGAATTCCATTTTTAATTGACTTTTTTAAGTTTTTCAAATTTATTTAATTATTTTATATTTTAAAAATCCAAAATGTCACAATTTCACTTATTTTTCACTAAAACACATGAGCTAGTATTGCATGATCTCAAGTTAGTCGAGATTCAGCTCTTTTGTTTTAAGTTTTTGTTCATTATTATCACGATTGCTTGCATTTTTGCACAAATTAAATGTTAAGTTATTTTTTTTTACTTGAGGTTTTCTCACAAATTTGAATTAAATTCACAGTTTTTTTTTTAATTTTAATAATTGAGGAATTTTATTGCCAAAAAATATTTTTTTTTCTGATAAATTCAGTCGGTTCTAGAAGGGAAATGGAATGAAAATTTGGTTTAAAAAATGTTTTGATTCTTAATCTTAAAAAAAGTTGAATTTATTATTTTAATTTTTAAACATTCAAATTTAAATGTTTTTTTAAAATCAATTTTAATTTTTATAAAAAATTTTCTTTTCAAATTCAATTTTATTTAAAATTTTTATTTTGTTTTTTCAAATTCAATTTTATTTAAAATTTTTAATTTGTTTTTTCAAATTCAATTTTGTTTGAAATTTTTATTTTGTTTTTTCAACTCTTAAAATATAAATACAAAACTTTCAAGAATTTAAAATTCAAACTTAAAATTTTTAACTTTCGAATCAGACATTTAAATGAAATTTTTATCTTTCCACATTGGAATTTAATTTTTTGAAGTTAGAATTTAAAATTGTTTTAATTTTTTAAAGGGTTTTTATAATTTATTAATTTTTTGTTTTCAATTTTTTAATTGAAACAAATGTTAAAAAGGTTAAAATTAAAATTCTAAATTAAAAAGTAAGTTGAAGTAAGTTTAATTGAAAAAATTAAGGTTTTGAATTTTCAACATTCTTTCTTAAGTTTTTTCAGTCACATGTCATTGATGTGATAGTTGAAAGTCAACCATGTGACTGACTAAAATGCTGTAAAATCTCAAATGATCATTTTTATTTAAGCAATTTGAAACAATTCAACAAAAAATCTTGTTTTCAATAAAGTTAAACTTAAAAATTCTAAACTTTTAATTTTTTAAATGTTTTTTTTTAAAAAAAATTTAAAAAATTCACAAAAAAATCTTCAAAAATCCTCACTTTAATCCTCAATCACAACAATTTAATCCACTTAAAAATTCAATTTAAATTCCCAAAAAAACTATTTTTCCCATTTTAAATCCAAAAACTTTTTTTTCAGTTCCTTCCGTCCTCAAAAGATTTTCTCAACTTCTTCAACAAAAATCACAACACAAAATGCACTGCAAAAAATTTTATTCATGTCTTTTTGTTTAACACTTTCTTTAATCCTTTTCATGTGCTTTCATGTGAGAGGAACATGCTGTTGTGGCAAATGTCCGGCACACAGCACCTTTTACGCGCCGGTTTCTCTCGCAAAACTACAAAAAAATTCTCTCTCAATTTTTAAATAAATTTTTATTTTGAAAAATGAGAGAAAAAATATATAAAAAAAGTTGGGGGATATCCCAAAGTGGGTGGGTGATGTACAAACACAACCGGCACACGCACACATGTTAAACATGTGCTGGGTGGTGACCACCCCAGTCGGCTACAACAACAAACAACAACTAAATGTGTGTATCAGCAGCAGAAATTTGAATTTTTGTTCTTTTCGATGTCGGCAGATTTTCTGGCAATTGAAAAAAAAAAGGCGAAATAAAGTTTTTTTTCTAGCTTTTCTACGAGACTGCAATTGATTTTTTTTCCTTCCCTAGTTTTAGGCAAATTAAATATTTTTTTTGGTTGTGCATACAAACTTCCACTACTGGGTTATCGATTTGCAAATGCACACACGAATGGGAAATCAAGAAAAAAAACTTTTTTTTTGAAATTGTTCTCAATGAAATAATTTTAATTGATTTGAATGTTTCTTTAATTAATTGATTTATTGCTAGCTTGCTTGCTGCTGCTTCTTTGGGGAAAAGTTTTTGTAGAAGAGGAAGTTGTTCTTGTCTTGTGATTTTGCTTATGACATGACTTGACTTGACTTCAGGGATGATTTATGATTTTTGTCTTATTTTTTTTGAGGAAAAGGAAGTTTGGTTCTTGTTGGTTGATGACAAAATTATTAATTCATTTTTGAGGGAAGCTAGTTTTAAGGGTAGCTAGTTTTGAAGTTAGGGGAGGTTATTACTTAATTTTCGATTATGACAAACGCTTCTCTGAAGAAAATCTGAAGGTTCTGCAGATATACTAGTCCAGTGGTGGGCAACCTTTATTAGCAGGCGCGTAACCAGGGGGGGATTAGACATTTCTTACTTTTGCTAGAGTTTTATGAAAAACTCTAAAAATCCCCCCCCCCCCTCTTCAAATTCCTGGCTACGCCCCTGTTTTTTAGATAACATCACATCTAGGTGATAAGCTATGACCAGTACCACAAACAGCAAACGGTTTGTGGGATTTTTTTTAAATTTTTTAATATGAGCTTGTACATCACTACCGAGTAGAATATTAGCCATGTACCAGTCCAGAGTGGAACACTTTACATGACGTCTAGGAAATTACTAGAGGAATGTTCATAAAAAATTTGTTATTATTCGTACGTGCGTCTACATCATGTCAATTGTTCTTCTCGGCACTGGTACATTACTAACATGATTTAGCTCCATAACACAGTCTAGTGTCGCATTAGAGCCTCCCTAATACTAAGGCAAGTTCATTTTTTGTACTAGTTCAGTTCGAGAAAGCACACGACATCAAAAAGTCCGAGAAAACAGGCATGGAGCTTCATTTTCTTGCTAATTGATTGATTAATCAGAATCAACTTAGATCCAAAGTGTCAACTTGACCTCAAATTCAGACAATCCAGACAAATTAAAACCCCAAACTCAATCCTACCCAATTTCAAGCTTACAACGGACAGATTTTCTCGAGAATTTCGATAACGTTCTGTTGAAAAGTTTTCCACAGAAACCGTTTTAATCTATGTGAATAGAATATGAAATGAGACTGTTTGTTGAGTTCAGTTCTTGACTTTTGACTTGACTCCTTTAACTCTTTTGGACTCTTGATAACTGTTTGAATTGCGACAGTGATAGTAAATTGTGCATTGTGACTGACACGAGCTTACATTGTTACTTGATTTTTTTTTTGATGACGAGTTTTTGATAATTTATTAAAATTTTGTTCATAGAAAAATTCGGAATGTTCTGAACATCGCAATTTCGGTAACAATCAAGGCTTATGAAAACTGTTTTTCAAGCATTTTTTAAAAAATTTGAAGATATTCAGCATCATCTTAGTTCTCACAAAATTTGAAAATAAACAAAAATGAGAAGTCAAACTGAATGGACATCAAAAAGTAAGAAGTAAAATTTATGAAGTGAAAAATTCTGAGAAATTATGATGATAAGGCTTTTAGGAGTCAGTCTGATGTTATAGAATTATTTTTGGGAAAGTACAAATGAGCTTTTACTAGAATTATGACTGTGTGAATACTAAGGATGAGATTTGAATGTTAAAATTGGTTGGTTTTTGTTATGGAAGGTCTCGGAGTTGAAAAAAAAGTCTTTAAGATTAAAATGTGATTTGAACTCGCAGTTCCGCATATTATTCTAGTGTATCTGAGCTATTTTTACAAATTAGAAACCAGGAGCAATGCTAGTAAGTCTTCGATGGCTAGTATTGACTCTTACTTTCCTTATTAGTAGCCAATCTAATTAATAGTGAGCTTATCAGCCAAATTCTTACTAATTCCCTTACCCAACACATCAGTACCCTCCACCTCATAAAACCCCCTCCTTAATCCTCTTTACCATCAACCAGGTGCGTATCCAGGAGGGTCGTGTCTCCCTCTTAAACGTATTAGACCGTGCTCTCGCTGCTGTTTAAAAAGTTTAAGGGGGGGGGGGGGGGGGGCAACCCTCCTAGGACGCTCCTGCCATCAACCAATATTGCTTTCTATAAAATTTAAACTATTTTTGCAATGATAAAAATATTATTTTTCCTGTGTTGTTTGACAATGAATAATACAAAATAAATATCAGTCTGTTTGTCAATTCCAATCAATCCAATCTGTCGTGTTTTCCCTTCAATTTTATTATTTTTCAATTTTATCAATTTTATTTGAACAAATTTAAATTCAAGTTCAATGAACTCTTTTTTTCTATCTTGGATGATGTTTTCAGCATGGCTTTTTTTTAAAGGCTCATGAGGATGATGAAATTTTTGAGTTCTTAATATGAGCAGTAATATTGAGATTTAAGAACTATTGATCATTGACTAAACACGTGAACCTCATCCATCCCAATCTACCACATGACATCCCCAACAACAACAACAACATCAAAAACCCAATCACTTTCATCAATCGATTCAGTTCAGTTAATAATTAATATATCTTCAATTAACTTGATCAAAGATATCAAATGAGCTTGATTGAA